GTTATTGGTGGCTACAATTGTCCAGATGTGAAGAAGATGATGTATGTTGACGAAAAATGTAGTGTTATAGTTATTTATGATAACAAGTCAATTATCAACGGAATGTTGACCAATGGTCACGATAAAAACTCTTGCAACGAAATTAAAATCATCCATTGGATATTTAAATCGTGCGATAATGCAATAATGCGTCACAAACACGTCCGATTTAGAAAAAAATGCCAGAAATTTTCGCAGTGACATTGAAAAATACCTGCTCAACTTAAAAATACGAAAAAGTGGTCTAAAAATAAACATTAGTTATGAATAGTAATCCTGCTCTAAGACTATTAAACCACCAACAAATTAAGCGATAAACTTTACTACTAAACTATATACCCATTAATCAATGTTTTGTTGTTATGTTAAACATTAATTTACGCTTTTAGTATGTCATAAATCATCAATGGCAAATAACTAAACGAGCTGAAGACAACGATACAGAATTCTAGTATTTTTTCAAGTAAAACGATAAACAATATCTCTGTTTACTTTTGATTGTTTCATTTTCTTGTTAATTTAATTACGATAGGCTGACTAATCCAACGATCGCTATATGCGATAACTCGCAAACTGTCGATTGCATTCACTGAATTTTATTAATTAACCATTGTTCTATTATTTGATAAATTCTGTATTCAATTGCGACTACTTTCGATTCAAATATGTGTTGCTTAAAAATCACGTAAATCATTGTTTACGTTTTATGGTAGCGTTAACGCGAGACGTACGGTCTACATCGATTTTATTCAATTTATTTACGTTTGGATCTTTAACTGATAAAAAAATTGAAGTGATTAAAATTAAAAATTTACATTTACATTTCATTTCTCACTGTAATCCCGCAACAACTTTTCGAATTTATCGCCAAAAATTAAACTCCAGCATAAGTTTTAATTAAGAGCACCATTCGATTTTCCGCTAAAATCAAACAACTTCTCCTATTTGCCTAAAACATATGTTTCATTATCATCAATGAAAAACGTACCGCGCTTATGATCAAATTTTCAATTATTAAGGATCAAAGTTTTATATGGTAGATAGCTTCTGATAAAAATTAAGTGACAAATAGAACAATTTTTGCGAAAGCCACAAATTTAATTAAAAATATAATCTAGGTTTCGACTGATATGTCAATTTGTTGATTAATAAAAATTCTTAAAACCAACCATAAGGAAAAAATTAAAAACGGGAATAAAGTTAAATAAACCTTTTTTACCCACATAAGCTAGAAGGTACGATGTTCTTCCATTAAAGTCAGTATTGCCAAATGTACAACACTGCTCAAGGGCAACTCGGAATCAAAATAACTTCGAGTTCTTGAAAATTTAACACAGTATAGTATGGTATTATAATAAATATACTGACGATTTCCGAAATACGATGCAATTCACGTAGATACAACGGGTCAAGTATTATATACCAGGTATAGATAAACATAAATCGTTTTTATGAAATACGTAAATATTGCGTTACAACGATACAAAATAGAAGTTGCAGTAAATAAATAAACGAGTGCAAAGGAGAAATTGCAACAGTGGTTGTTTTTCTATTGGCGAAAAGATACGGTAAGCGATGTATAAACGGTAACTTCATTATATCGTTTCCTTCATGTTTTATCGATGTTTCATCACCCGTAGAGTATGAAAAAATAGGTCTCCCGTTTCCTGTGTCTGTATCGATTTTTATTATACACAATCTCCGAAACTACTGGACCGATTGTTGTTAAATTTTGTATCTGTATTTGAAAACGCTAACCAAAATTTAGCTAGTCATCCCTACTAACAATTTGATGAGGTCTCCTCGATTTTTTTTTTTTAGTAAGCGTCATTTAAATTTATAAATTAACATACAGCTAAACTTGTGCTTTATCCGCCTTGATTTTTGACCCTCCAGAGTTTGGCATTTTTTTAAACATTTTTTAAAATAAAATAAAATTTTATCGTTTTTAAAGAAGTGAAATTTCGGACTCTCATTTTTCTTTATTTAACTTGCTCAACTAAATGCCATTTATGGCAATTTTCGTTTTTAAAAATTATGTTAAACAATCAAAAATAGTTCCAATGTCTATCTTCTTTCTCTTTTTGATTATTATTATTATTGTAAAAGTCAATAGGTATCAGTTTACTAACATTTCGTGTTTTATTTTTGAAAAATATTTAAAAGAATCTCAGGGATTCCTGAAAGAATTTAAGAACCTCAAGGGCCCGAAGTGTTTTATTACTGAAATTTTTTTAAAGAATCTCGGGCCACCTGCTGTTGTGTTTTTGAAAAAATTTAAAAATCTCAGGGGTCCCTAATATTTTATTTTTATAAAAATTTTAAAGATCCTTGATATTTTTTTTTTAAGAATTTGAAAGAATAATTTAAGAATCTTGAGAGCCCCTAATCTTTCTGAAAAAATTTAAAGAATCTCAAAGGGGTTGGTCTTTTTTTTTCAAAGAATTTAAAAAATCCCGGCAATCTTTGGACTGTCCTTAAAAAAAATAAGAATCTCAGGGAACCCTAGTGCTCATTTTCGAAAACATCCTACAGAATCTCGGGTCTCCTGGTGTTTTATTTTTGAAAAAAAATTAAGAATCTCAGGCTACATTTAGTGTTTCAATTTTAAAAGAACTTAAGAATCTCAGGGACCCCTAATGTTTTATTACTGAAAACATTTGAAGAATCTCGGGTTTTCTGACGTTTATTTTGGAAAGAACTTAAGAATCACGGGGGCCCTTTGGTGTTTCAATTTTGAAAGAATTTAAGAATCTCGGGAGACATTTGGTGTTTCAATTTTAAAAGAATTTAATAATCTCAAGGGCCCCAAGTGTTTTATTATTGAACAAATTGTAAAGGATCTCGGGCCACCTGCCGTTGTGTTTAAAAAAAAAAATTAAATCTCAGTCCCCCCCCATTTTATTTTTATAAAAATTTGAAAGCCCTTGTTATTTTCTTTTTGAAAGAATCTCGGCAGTTTTATTTTTGAAATAATTTAAGAATCTTGGGAGCCCCTAATCTTTCATTTCTGAAAAGATTTAAAGAATCTGAAGGGGTCTGATGTTTTATTTTTCAAAGAATTATGTTAGGCATTGTCGGTGTATTATTTTTGAAAAAACTAAAGGAATCATAATGAACATTTGATGTTTCAATTTTAAAAGAATTTAAGAAACTCAGGTACCCCTATTGTTTTATTATTGAAAACATTTTAAAGAATCTCGGGTTTCCTGACGTTTTATTTTTGAAAGAATTTAAGAATCTCGGGGGACCTTTGGTGTTTCAATTTTAAAAGAATTTAAGAATCTCAGAGACCTCTAGCGTTTTATTATTGAACATTTTAAAGGATCCTGGGCCACCTGCTGCTATGTTTTTAAAAAAATTAATCTCTAGCCCCCCCCCCCCCCCCCCCCGTATTTTATTTCTATAAAAACTTTAAAGGCCCTTGTTATTTTCTTTTTGAAAGAATTTGAAAAAATCTCCGGAGCTTTATTTTTGAAATAATTTAAGAATCTTGAAAGCCTCTAATCTTTAATTTCTGAAAAGATTTAATAAATCTGAAGGGGGTTGGTGTTTCAATTTTAAAAGAATTTAAGAACCTGGGGGGGGGTAATATTTTATTTTTGAAAAACATTTAAAAAATCTCAGGGACTCGGTTTTTTATGTATTGAAAAAATTGTAAAGAATGTCAGGGATCCCCGGTGTATTATTTTTGATAAAACTTAAGGAATCTTAACGGACATTCGATGTTTCAATTTTAAAAGAATTTAAGAATCTCAGGGACCCCTAGTGTGTTATTATTGAAAACATTTTAATGAATCTCGGGCTTCCTGACGTTTTATTTTTGAAAGAATTTAAGAATCTCGGGGGACCTTCAATGCTTGAATTCTAAGAGAATTTAAGATTCTCAAGGGCCCCAAGTGTTTTATTATTGAACAAATTTTAAAGGATCTCGGGCCATCTGCTGCTGTGTTTAAAAAAAAATAAATCTCAAGGGCCCCTCGTATTTTATTTTTATACAATTTTTAAATGCCCTCGTTATTTTCTTTTTGAAAGAATTTGATAGAATCTCCAGTTTTATTTTTTTTAAATAATTTAAGAACCTTGAGAGCCCCTCCCCTATCTTTCATTTCTGAAAAGATTTAAAGAATCTGAAGAAGGCTGGTATTTTATTTTTCAAAGAATTTAAAAAATCCCTACTATTTCTGAGCTTTCAGTAAAAAAAAATATAAAAAAAAAGAATATCAGGGAACCCTGGTGCTCATTTTCTAAAACATGTTATAGAATCTCGGATCTCCTGGTGTTTTATTTTTGAAAAAAAATTTAAGAACCTCGGTGGAGCCTAATATTTTATCTTTGAAAAACATTTAAAGAATCTCAGGGACCCCTAGTGTTTTATTATTGAAAACATTTTAAAGAATCTCGGGTTTCCTGATGTTTTATTTTCCAAAGAATTTAAGAATTTCAGCGGCCGAGTGTTTTATTTTTTAGAGAATCTAAAGATCTCGGCCTTCTGGTGCTCTATTTTTAAAAGAATTTGGAAGAATATCGGGGGATCTTTGATGTTTCACTTTTAAAAGAATTTAAGAATCTCAGAGAACGCAAGTGTGGTTTTCAAATTTCTATAATAAACAATTCCGTCTTAGTTTGTGGCTTGTCAGAATTTTATAATTTAAACAAACTTATTAAGACATGCATTAAAAAATAAACTATCCGGTAATCACCAACGTCAGACATAAGCCATTTCCTTTCCGATTCTACCACGGTGACCGCGGCATCGCCCGGAAACGCTTCATTCTGGACATCAGCCGTGCGTTATAGCCAAATTTTCAATGAATCAGAATTTCGAATTTCCCTTGACAAAACAAATCATAATCAACCGATAAAAGTATCCTCTTAACATTTGGAAAATAACAAACATCATTTCCGGACAAACCATAAAAAACGTCAATAATATTGTGCGTCACTTCGTACTCGAATTAAATCGTCTGAAAGAAATGTTTCGCTTTCACAAGCCTTTTCGAAGAAATTTGTGAAGCTCGCGTTCGCGGTAACTGTAACTCCTTCCAATTAGTTACTCTTCGGGTTTTCTATTTGTAATAAAAGTCATCCGATCACCCGATTTTCCCCCAGTTTCACTCCAAATTTGGAGTAGGCGTAAAACCAAAGCTCCGTATTTAATAATAATTTCAATGACACAATCCCGAATTACAAAACAAAGTTTCGTTTCGTCACCAAAAAAACGTAACAATTAAAAGGAATGACTCAAACCAGATTTAGATAGTTCTTAACACGACAACGTCACCCAGTGATAAAACCGACACATCTCAATCCCAGGAACCGCAACAGGTATATACATTTCTAATTCCCCTTAAACTAATCTAATCTCCGAGACAATACGTATCACCTGATACAAACTGTTATTATAGAGCTCGTATTTGCAAAAGTCGTGTAAGCTCAATTTGTTCGAAGCGATACGCGCTAACATTTGACCCCAGAATTACAAATTTATGCTAGTTTCAATCTATAAACACAAGAGGTGACCTGCGCAACGATGACACACAACCATATTTATTTATGTGAGTACCACGCTCTATTTAAATTACAAAAATATTCGTCGGCCTCACACAACCGTTCACTCTTCTTCAGGATGGCCTCCCGAATTATCTTGGTGCTGCTCGTGGTGCACGCCGCCGTCGCCAGCAACCCCTGCTGCCCCAGCGGCGACAACCGCATCGCCAGGAAAAAATGCGCCGACGGCTCGCCCGTACAACTCCCCTGCCCGTTCAAGTACCTCACGAAGAAGGAAGACGGGATGACGGTGGACGTCGACGACGACCTGATCATAGCGTCAGCGCGCATACCGCCAGATCGGTAAACCAACAATTTTTTATTGTTTGCAAAAATTATATGATGTGTTTTTCAGGTACTGTGCCACCAAATCCAACCAGACTGACTTGTTCGTGGTGTGCTTCAGCGAAGACGCGTTGGAAGGCAACAGCGCCTTCACGGTGTACGCCGTCCTGGAGCTCATCTCCGTCGTCTTCATCCTGTTGACTATATTCGTGTATTCGCAAGTTCGCGAAGTGCTCGACCTTCAAGGAGTGTGTATCGTGCATTCGATTTCTGGACTCGCGGTGTCTTTTCTTGTTTTGGCGGTGAATCAGCTGATGCCTTATCGGATAGAAAAGACGAAGTGCATGACGGTGGCGTATATAATTTATTTTACGATGTTGTACTCCTTCTTCTGGTTGAACGTGCTGGCTTTCCACATTTGGAGGACCATCGTGTAAGTTAAGAAGTTAAAAACTGTCGGGAGACGGACTCAGGCAGTTTTTCGTGTTGTGCGGCACGTATGATTAAAAATAATCGGTTTAATTGGGGCACTTGCGAAACAAAAACGCTACGGGGGGCCCGATATCTACTCTGATCTAATTTGATCGATTAAATGATTTCAGCGTAGATACGACTTATAACAAAAACGCTTTACCGAACACGGAAGCGTTTTATCTCCACTTATTGTTTTCTTGTCTCAGTTCTTCACTCTATGAACATAAAGTCTGAATATTAACTGTTGTTAAATACGGTAGTGCAGTAATCCTTCTTAAGATAACTACTCATTGTTTGATTTCTGCCTGTGTGTCGCAACCGATAAGGGACAATACTACAATGACGGACTCCAAAGATCGCGGCTTTATTTACTTATCGTACTATAAATAAATAAAAAAAATAAAGACGCATAAAAGTGCACTGCGTTAAAAATTGTAAAACTCACCTTATCGACGTCAGAATTGAAAATTTAAACTTCCCGCCACTTATTTTTCGAGTAATAATAACAACTTTACAGCAAACCCAGCTTCTTCAGAATCCACAAATACTGGCCGTACATCTACCACGGCTTCGGCTGCGGCGGCCCCGTCATCCTCCTCATCATCCTCCTGATCGCCCACTCGATGCCGTTCTCCGACATCCATCCAGGTTTCGGCGAAACCAAGTGCTGGTTCAAAAGTACCTCTACTTCGTTTTCAAAAACTCCGACTAACTCGTCGTCGTTACAGCAACTAAAACCCAGTTCGTCTACTTCTACGGTCCCATGGCCGTCCTGCTCTGCCTCAACGTCATCTACTACGGCTGGACCATAGGGGTGCTGTGGCGGCGCTTCAGCCAAACCGACGAAAAGAAAGTCAAAGTCCTGAAATATCGGTTGCTGTTGTGCGTCAAACTGTTCTTCATCATGGGCATTTCGTGGATCTTCGAGCTCCTGTCGGCCGCGTTCCAAGAGGTCGATCCCGTGTTGCAGACAATATGGTAAGTAGTTGGAAGGTCGAGGATTTTCTTGTGATTGTTTATGGTTGTAGGTACGTAACGGACGGTCTCAACACCTTACAAGGGATCTTGATTTTCCTTATTTTGGTGGTGTTGAGGAAACGGGTTATCAGGGGCCTGGCGGACAGGAGCTTGTGCGGGGTGCGGCTGCCGAGCAGGTGGAGGGCGGCGGCGGACGACGAATGCGAGGAATTCGAAGAAGAACTCAACTTATCCGAAACGCAGATACAGAAGCTGTAGCTTCGATTTATTATTATTACTTGTTTTTATTATATAAAACTCTGTGTAATACAATTTGTATATTTTTAACGGATTTTATTAATCGCAGTGGTATTCATTTCGGCTTAATCCGCGCCTGGTGCTAATCACCATAATCGCCATGACCCGCCACTGCCCCCGCCACTGACTGACCATCACTCATCCTTGAACAATCCACTGTCTCATTTACCACAAGAGGGGGGACAGTGGGGGCTTAATGACGGAAGTATGATTTACCTGTACGTGACTCGTCCAGTGACAAATCCGCGGTTTCCGTTACAAAAAAATCGTTGGGCAAAAGTGAAGTGCACGCCTCTGGCGAAGTAAACATAAATATTTAAAAAATCGACGAGTCCGAACGACCCCACGTCCCAGAAATAAACAAATCGGATCAATGAGACGCTGTGATGAAACTTACGCACTCACAGCGGTAACAATTAAAAATAAATGTTTGTTTGTGTGACATAACCTCAAACTTGTACCTGAACTACCTGAACGGATATGGATACAAAAACGGGGCTCATTTTTTTGCTCATTATTTATAGAGTTAAGTCTGAGGTAGCTGATAGGAATCTCGAAACGTCCGTTAGGGTGAATAAGTGCTGCGAGGAGGGAGAATTGTACGAGGGGAATTACCATTGCGCGAAGGTGAATCTCACCCACGAAACACCATGGAAGCCCATTTTTACGACACAAGATGGGAAGAGGACGAACTTGCAAATCAAATATCGGTAAAGCGGACACCCTGTGAAAATTGTGTTTTAATTGCGGTATTTTTATTTAGACTGATAACTGGGCTACCGGATTGCGGATCAAAGGCACCGTGGCCCATTTACCACTACCAGAATTCCAGCGACCGCTTAAGGCTCCTACCAAATGGGGTTTTGCGGCACTACTTTGACCACAACGTTCCCCACGAAACGGAAATGGACGACATTAATCCAAACTCTTTATACCACGACTATGAACCAAACAAATACTGTTTGGAAAAGGTACATTTTTCTATATTTCATACTAGCACTGATGATTATTTTATTTTAGAAAGTCGACGGTCAGTTTAAGAGCGAATTCGCCAGAGTCTGCGCCCCCGATCACAATACTCACTGGAGCGAAACCGAATTTTTAATGCGAAATATAGTGAATCCCGTCACTCACGGAATCGGGATTGTGTGCCTTTTGATTATAGCTGTTACATATTTTGTAATGCCCACGTTACGTGATTTGGTCGGTAATATAATTACCACCCTCTGTATGTGCCTTATTTTGAGCCAAGTGGCCGATCTCATCAGATTACTGACGGTTTTCAGCAGCCACATCAGCCTTATTATCACAGACACCATCTGCTACTTCAGTCTGTTGGGGTCTTTTTTCTGGTTGAACAGTCTGGGCTATTACATATGGAAGACGTTCAAGTAAGAATAAAATAACTGCTTTTTATTTTAAGACAAATAAGGTAAATTCCAGGTCGCGGAACGTGTTTCTGAGAATAACCGACGGTAAAAAATACTGCTACTATTCAATGTATTCATGGTCATGTACTTTGGTACTGGGGGCCCTGGCCGTTTTTGCCCACTTCACCATGGACTACCCAGAAGAAACAGCGGCACACGAACAAGAAGAAATTGGTATATAAAATATCATTCATTATAACAACTTTGTGTTATTTTCAAAATTTCAGGTTCCCTGGGTCTGATAATATTCTTCGTCCCCGTGGCCTTCACCATCCTCATGGACGTCTTCTTCTTCGCCACGACAGTAAAAACCATAAATCGCATGCACACGTACGGTCGGATCCACCACAAACTGCGTCACAGGTAACCAAAACGGAATCGTTGGCATTAACCGATTTAAATGTTGCAGCTTTCGCATGTTTTTGTTGTTATTGCTAATAATGACAATAACGTGGATGTTTTTCTTGATGTCGTTTTTTAAGTTCAAAGGCTTGATTAACTGTTACATCGTTGTAAACGCTTTTCAAGGTCCGCTTATTTTATATGTTTGTGTTTTCAATCAGCGACATGTGGCGTATTTGCTTAGAAAAACGTGCTGCTATAAAAATTGCTTTTGCAAGTGTTGCCGAGCGGAACCCGAGGCCGAATGGGGCGACGAGATGACGGCCATGAACACGGGAATTTATTAGAGAATTAGGCGGCTTTTTCCTGGGGCAGCTTTATGTTTTCGAATGTACTTTTTGGCTGTACTTAATTTATTTATGAGTAGATTTAATATTAATTTATATTTTCGTATACCAGACACTTTGTATTTTACTAAGGAAATAAAAAATTAACACTCACCTGACTGAATAAGTGTCCTTCAGGTCGCCTCACGAGCGCTGATAGCTGACACCTCACCACTAAATGACAATCATCCAAAACCGTGTTAAAGAACCTCCTAGTGGGAAGAAGCGCCTCCAAATCCGTCACCAATTCAAGAAACCGTTCACAATAGTGAATTTTATCGGCGGGACAAATCCCCTCTTCATCAATAGTATCAAGAATACTCATAAATTTCAACATCAAACTGTGTAAAAACGTGCGTTCCCACGTCAACTTCTCCAACTCCTCTGGTTTATCTTTTTTTTGAATAGCTTTCCAGTATTTACGCCACTTGGGGTTCTTTTTGAATTCGTAATCACGCCGGCCGGGTTGTAAAGACACCCACATGGACAAAGACACCAGACGTTTAACCTGATCTCTGCACAAAGCGTCCTCCATGCTGTTAAAGCAATGATTGAGAAACACAAGCAGCGAAGTTTGCTCCTTTAAATTAATGATTAATTCGTCTTCTAGCAACCCTTTGAGAACTTGTTGGAAAAAATCAGGAAAGTGAGCGGGGTTTTTCCGAAACGCCTATAATGCTTTGATGAGTGTCGTAACATATATGAATGCGATATTACCTGCCACACTTGCACGCGCTCTCGGAATTTCTCATTTACCATATTAACAATGGATAGCATGTGTGCATACGAAGCTCCTGGTTTGTAGTTCGGCCATAAGTAATTCTCCATGTACTGGCTAAACTCCAATACCATGATTCTTCGAATCGAAAAACTGGAAAATAAAAATCATTAACATAACCTCACTTTTTTTTAATGTTTTTTGTACTTGCTGCCGCGGATGTCTTGCATGTAGATGTCTTCCACAACGCTAGAATCGAAGCTTTCTTCATTGTGGGTGGTATTCGGGGCCCAGTATTTATCAGCAAGCTACGAAATTGACGGTAAACAAAGTTTGAGGTTAGGTTTTAGAATGACCCTTACCTCGGTTATTCGGTCGGCGTTGATTTGCTCCACCGTGGGGGCCACCACCTTCGTAGTCCCTTCAAGCATTTTTTTGTGTTGCAACACCAACTACGAACACTTTAATTAATAAAGTTAAACGTTTATTAACGAAAACCGGTCAACATTTTCAGTGCTTTTATTTTTTAGGTGGATTAATAAGTACAGTTGGTGGAACTGAGATAGAGCAGAAATACAGTGGCGTAGATTCGATACCAGCTTGGGGGACACAATAAATATGCCTCGTGTTTAGGTACTAATTTACAAAGCTAATCTTATTACTCTAGGTACTCTAAAGTAGCTACAAATGCCTCGTGCATCGCTCTTCTGTATACTCTTCTAACAGCATTAACAACAGTTACAATTTTCAAGACAACACAGTTCTTAACTTTGCTAAAACAAATCAGTATTCTGTTGCGTCTTCTCCTAATTCCATATTTTTTCTTATGTTTGTAAACTAATATTTCCGCCATTAAAATAAGACCGGAAAATATGTTACCAATAGACAACAAATAAAACGTCCCTTGTAACATCTTCAAGCTAATTGGTTGGAGCTTTTCGTTATCTTCGCTGACTTTAGCAGCTATCCGATTCTCTTTTTCGTTTGCCGGTATTAAGTCTTCCTCAGTTTCTGGAGTTATTTTCTTCTGTTTCTCCAGTTTTTCGTACTCATTTTCTGTCATTTTTGTGATAATTCCGGCTTCAAATATTGCCATTAATCTATAATCTGTACAGTTAAAAAAAATTGCAACTACACACATAGAAGTATACATTTTATTGATTTCTTCTATGTAAGGACATCCTAATTGGAAAGCTATGGCCGAATAAGCCGTATTTAACTTCGCACTGAGGTGAAAATAACTAGGACCTGCAATAAAAAAATCAGACAACCAAACAGAAAATAAATTGTTATGGTAGCCGCAAGCTTACCAAATTTTTGTATGTCGTAAAAAAGGGTTTCTCGTCCTGCGATCAATGCTTTATTGGTGTGATCTCTCACCAACAATACACCTTCTTCTACTGATTGTAAAAGAAAATCAGTTTGGCGTTCTCTCATCATTTCCCAGAGTTTCTTGTAAATTCCGGTTCCATTCTACAAATTATTGAGTCATGTGGAGTGCCGCCTTGTTAAAATAAGGATTATAATCAAACTCCGAACACCAACCTCAAACAAACTATAAGAAGAACTGTGCCTTTCCACATACAAATCGTAGCCTCGAGTACGCATCGCCTGCTCTAATTGTTGTAAATTATTGATTGGTTTTTCTAAAATTCAAGCATTATTTTTAACACATATTTGAAATAAAAAAAAAAACCTCTTCCGGGTTTAGCCAGAAGCGACGTCAAATTCGCCGAGTACATATCATTTATGACATAAGTTGCCGAAATAGATAGAATTATGATGAAAAATCGAGCTTTGTGACTGGAACTTGGTTCTTTACCGGCTGCAAACATAAAGTTACTAAAAAAACTAAACAATGTGGACACTACTTTGTCTTAAGAGGACTGTAGTCGTAAACCAAGTACAATCAAAGAAAAGCCTAGCATGCGACCTCACCCTAAACCTAGGTCTCCAGGCATTGGGTAGTGCTATAATGGCATAAAGCACAGGCCCTACAACCACAAAAGTCACACCTATAGCAGGCCACACTTGCCACTGGAAGGGTCTCAAAAGGGCTAAAGCTTCGTTCAGCTTACTTGGTGCATGAGTAATAAAAGCACCACTGTCTGCTAGAGTTATAAATGAAAATTCCAAGTAGTTAGCACGTTCGTTGCTTAGGGCTACATCCCCAATGAAGAAATCTGCTTGCTGAAGAAAAACAAACATCAAAATTGTAACACAAGTGATAACAGTACTACCCGTTTCCAGACCAAGCCTAGAACTCCCTTAAAGGTACCATTTTCTGAAGCCGAAGAACCTTGAATCCGCTCAGGAGGGTCAAAATAGTCGTACCTAAAATTCAGTTTGTTTGACAGAAGGGAGAGGATTCGGTCGTCGCGGCCTCCCTTCACTTCGAGGGTGTCGTTCTTGTAGTCTACGATGTGCCATGGGGGTTTCTACAAGCAAGAAACTCATTCTGTTTCTGCTTCAAAGTACTACTTACGTTAATGACGGGTACTTTGAACACGTATCCCTTGAAATCTTTAAAGGCGTTGTTATACGTCGAGGGTAGCGTAGGGTGGTTGAAAAGCCCCACGCCGTCCCGCCACCAGTTCACCATCTTGAAATGGTGGTTCTCGTGTGGTGGTAGAGCCTGGTTGTAAAAAATGCGAAACGTGTCGTTTCTGGGGTTGGTAATGGCGTAAACCTTCATCACGTAGTGGATGTTGGTTATAAAGTACTCGCTGAAGGGTTCGCGCCCCCAGTTGAAGATGTACACGACGTTTCTTCGTATGTAGTCGCGCTCATACACCTACGATTTATAGTCATCTAAAAGTATGAAATTATTGAGGATATACTTCTAGTAGAACGTGCTCGTAGAATCGATGTCTGCAGAAGAAAATAGTGCGCACACCTAGATGGTTTTTGACTTTGTAGTCGAGGTAGTCGAAGTACTTGTCTTGGATTTCGACGTTGGTCACGTTGAAGAGTTCGACGGCGATGTCGTGGTGCATGAACTTGGGGAGGAGTAGGTGGAGGAAGTTGGCGTCTGGAAAGGAGTTAAGTAGTGGGGTTTATCACAAGGTTTTTTATACCGGTGCTGGTGTCAAAGCAGATGCAGATGTCTTTGAGTAGGAAGCCGTTGGCGATGTCGACGGATGCGGTGACGAGATCTCCGCCGTAGTCTCTACGTAGTTCTTCTAAACCGTCTGAACAAACCAATCAGAGTGTTTTAGATTTTAGAAAAAGTTCTACTTACAAGGGAGATTTGGAAATTTGAGACGTTTTTTGATTTTAAGACAAAAGGAAAATGATAGCGCCATTATAATGAAGACGATTTTCATGGCGGTTTACTTTGACTAGAGTGCTTTAATCGAGTGATGGAAATCCAGAGGTATGAACTATCATGAAATGTGATAAATGAGTGGCAGCAAAGATTGACGGAAATGTTAATAACGTTAAGTTTGGAGACATATTGATCTTTGCTTTCCGTGTATAAAAGTCAATATCGTTACAGAAAATCTGGACTTTAATGACGCAAAGAAATTAAATTTACTACAAATCAGCAGGTGAGTACTTGCTTTGTTACTGTTTATAAGTAGTGACCTTGTTTGACTTAATTTTGCAGTGTTTCGTTATCAAAATAGTTTAGATTCTGTCAGATAGTAATGGTAATTGAGAAGTGTTTTCTTCCGCTTAAGTTTTGGTTAGTTTTCTTATTTAACTTTACTGTTTCATTTCTATCAAGCAATGAAAAATAATTAAGTGTGATATTGTACCAGAATAACAAGAACACTGATTTAGTAAAATATACGACATTGAATAAAGTGTGCCAAAGTGATAAATATCTAATATAAATGTACCTATCACGTGTCTGACATCAGGCACGTTTTGTTATCAGAAAAAAATACAGGTGTTGTCTACAGTACAAAAATGGGTACAAGTGGACGCTATTGTTAAATATAATTTTCAAAACCCTCTAGTTATTTCACGATTTTATTATAATTATGTTATTTTATTCATAGATTGTGAACTTTATCAGCAGACGTTATTTTGTAAATATAACCAATGATACTATTGTTTCAAAATATTGAGACTTGTCGCTATCCACCACTCCGACTATTGTTGTTTATAAAAATAAAAGAGATCCTTAAATATTTCTAGAGGTTCAAAAGCATTTAACAAACATAACTATTGTCGTACGATCTGTGGTCACCTTCAAGCATATATGTGTTTAGTAACACTTGTTCTTTTAACTGTGACCAATCTTGAATGAATCTTGTGTTCTTTGAACTTGACGTCCAATATACTTATTTCTGAATACAATCTTTACATCTGATCTCATCAGTCCTCGACTTTTCTTTTAATTTTGCTTTGTCTACTACTTTCCATGTCGTATTGTTTGAAAACCCTTTTGAAAGCCTTTGGTTATTGAAGAAGCAAATTTTTTTCTCAAAATTTTGGCAATTATTTTCCTTCTTCATGTTTAATTTTGTAGAGAGTTTGAAACTTCTCTATAATTTCTCTTCTTGTTTCGAAATAGATGTCGTCTAGAATCTTTTCTCATCTACATAGAATTTTTTCAGAATATTTTTTTCTTGTTTTATTCTTCCCTTATCATCTTATTAATATGTTTCCTGTAATGCACATCTTTGAATGATTCCTCAAATCTGCCTCCTGTTGTTCTCTTAAACTAAAGTAGTAGAGAGTTCCCGACACACGTGCCATAAAAAAAGTCGTACAAATTTTCAGACGACTGTCGAAATGTAGTAGATCTCACTATCTCTTCAAGTACTTTTAGTACTCTTTCTAAATGTATGTTTTTCTTCGTCTTCGTCTTCTTTTCAGTACGGTTGCCATCTGTTTTCTACTATCACTTCCACCCTTCCCACCTCACCTCATCGCTGCAGATCATCCATCCGAAAATGAAACTGCATTTTTCACAAAATTTCCATATAACTTTTTTCTACTGATAACATTGTCTCCTAATCTCTCCATCAGTCCAGACAGTTCGCCACTCGAAATGACGAAGTACCCACTCCAAACCCCTATAAAAGCCACCTCGTAAACCTGTCTGTAATTAATCACCATGAAGTCCCTCATTCTCGTCCTCGCCGCAGCGGCACTGGCCCAGGTAACCCAAAAAACCCGCCCTAAAACTTTAACCAACCCAAAAATTTAGGCCAACTTGAAACCAGCCCACATCAACCCCCAACACATCAACAGAAAGCTGCCTCTGTTCAAACCCAACCCCAGAATCACGGGTGGAGAAGAAGCAGAACCTCATTCTCTGCCGTACCAAGTTGGTCTGTTGATCCCCACGGACGATGGTACCGCGTTCTGCGGTGGTTCGCTCATTTCACCCACCACAGTCTTGACAGCAGCTCATTGCGGAGAACTGTAAGTCAACCAGTTTTTGTGGTACCACGACTCAGATGTGTTAATCCAGGTCCAACAATATCGAAATCCGTCTGGGGGCTCACAGAGTCCGCGACGATGAAGCCACCCAAGTCAGGGTTAACAGCAGCCAAGTGATCCTGCATCCGGACTGGGATAGCACTACTCTGCAGAACGATTTGGCCATTCTGCGTATTGCTGAACCAGTGGAACTTAATGGTACTGTTTTTATTAAAGATAGTTTCTCGGTTCTTACAGAGTTTTTCAGAGAACATCAACGTTATCCCGCTTCCGTCTAGTGCTAACGCAAACAATGACTACTTGAACGACCCCGCGTTGGCTAGTGGTTGGGGCAAGCCCACCGACAGCGCCGAAAGCATTAGTGATGTTCTCAGGGAAGTTACTCTGCCTGTTGGAGATAACTCAGTCTGCAACTGGTACTACTTGGGGGTTATTCAAGACACTCATCTGTGTGCTGATGGTGCTGATGGTAAATCTACTTGCAGTGGAGACTCTGGTGGTCCTCTGCGTGCCTCCACTGGTGAATTGGTACGTAAATTTGGTGGTACTGTGGGTGGTTTGTAACGAAAAGGTTTTAGATTGGTGTCACTTCATTTGGAATTTCCTTCGGTTGTGAGATTGGTTGGCCACCAGTTTTCACCAGAGTCACCAAGTTTTTGGACTGGATTGCGGACAACTCCGATGTTGCGATTAACTAATTGTACTGAATATGTACTTAAAATTAAAAATATATATTTTTTAACTTGATCTGCTTTTTATTTTTTGAATCTTAATTTTTTCCTAAAATACGACGCACTGTTACAGATTTATTTGTTATTTATGTATGAAGGGTATTATGAAGTAGTTTATGCCTTAATGCCTTAGGATATTATTTGGTCAGTAACGTACCTCAAATCCACGCCATTATAGATTAATAATAAAGTGTGCTTAGATAACCGTCACAGGTGTGTATAGTGGGTTGCATAAGCGCGCCATTTTTAATCAAAATTTTTAAAAATCCTAAACATTAATATAAAAATCAGTGACAGAGTGCTTTAATTCACTTGTTAAGCAAATAGACTGTTCATTTTTTGGATTTTTGTTAACAAAAAGACTCAACTTGAAAAATTCGAACTGGAATCGACCTCGAGAAAAACAACTTCATAGTGTTTGTTATATTGTGTTAAATTAAAGAAAAAGAACAAATACAGCGATGAATAAATCAGTTGTTTTTGGAAAAACACACTTTTTCACGTAGGTTATACAACTAGAGTTTCCAAGTCGACAGCATAGCCGAAATATTTGAAATTGTTCCCTACAAGTTACAAACCAAAGTAAAAAGCTGTTTAACCTGTTCGAGCGTCCTGTCAATTTTAATTGTTGAATTTTTGATGCAATTTATGCCATAATTTAAAGAGTCGCTGCATGTAATGCGTAATAACAGCTTTCGAAGATTTTTGAACCCGGGCTTCTGCAAAACGGAAGAGCTCTCCAGCCTTAAGTACCTGTTATAAATCAAAACCGCGCCGAAGACAAACACCGGCGAACCGTTATCTTAATTGCCTCGATAACCTGAAAATCTCGCGATATCGTCTCCAATTAGCAAAGAAAAATTGCGGCAGAGTCCTGTTACAAAAAACCGCATAAATTTTCGCGTTTCGCCAAACCCAAGTGGAAAAAACACAAACAAGGTGCTTGATTCATTCAAGCGGCGACATCCGCAGCACCGACACCCAACCGCACTTAGCGCTAACGATCTGCCACAAAAAGCCGCCAGCTCCTCCTTCGGCCTCGCCAACAGGAAGCCGTTGATCAGCGCTCTTCCTCCTGCTGCACTCGGCGTCGATTTTCTGCGTGTGCACGTCTTTAACCGGATCAGGGTTCAGAGGCGGCCGAGTGGAGGGGTGGCATTCCATCGCCAAGGTCTCTCACTTCTTCTCGCGTTTCCCAGAGAAATGCCGAGAGCGAGAAGGACAGCATCGCTGGTCCAGTTCGCTGACACTCGCATACTTTCCACACGAAACAGTTGGCGACGGTTGGAAAAGCACCTGCTGCACCCAGGCCCACGGGACGGTGGACGGTTATGGGCGAAGTGACGTGAAACCGACTCGAGGACTCGAGGACGGAGTGCAGTGTTCTTTGTGCGGTGCTCGGCGCGGACGTTACCGTGGAGCGGAGACCGATGGCAGACCCATATTAGGTATGTGGGATTTCATAACCTTAACGCGGGGAAATGGGGCAGGAGATGGGGAGAAAGCGGGAAAGTGTGGGCGGCGGAATTTGCGGGAAAAACACTTTTTCTGCATGTGGGAGGATCGCTGCGGCCGCTACAAGCAAACAATATCTTTATGGTAGTGCTAACAATGGGCTACCGGCTCAGGTAGACCGTGGGAGAGCGATCGGAGCCGTGGATTCCTGGGACTGGGTTAAAAAACGCGGAAATCTTAGGAGATTTGAATTGGTGCATGCAGTGCGAACCCTCCGCGACGGGAATAATGGGCAGGGTTTCTATGGAAGTGACCATCAGTGCAAGCTATTCTCAAATGTATAGAAAGTATGCTCAACAATGCATACAAAGCTGAGACTGTCTGCTGAATAAATTCAATAATTTAAAAAGAGATCACGAAAATACGGATGTTCAAGTTAGACGTAATAAATAATAAACAAACAATACTAACATAATCACTATTATTATTAAGAGAAGACTTCGAAGATGATGAATTATTGTTATTAACCGCAATTATAATGTTTTGTGGGGGCGTTTCCGTAAAACTTGTTTCGACTTTTCTAACGTCTTCAGTGCACCTTTTGACCCCTCTCAGGGTGGTTGTTGTAGTTTCTGACAGGTTTTCATAAATTTATGCTCCAAGACAATATAAAGTTTTTCGAATTCTAAAACATTAAAAATCTGACTTTCTCGTTGGTGAATTTGCATTTTTTTGTTGTCCACGACTATTACAATCTCCATCATGTCTTGATGATAATGACATTGTTTTATATTTTATAATTGGTTCCTAAAAAACGTGAAATTTATTAAAGAACTTTTAAAAATATTCAAATGGCAAAATGAAAGCTGTTGTAAACGTTGTACCATTAAACGGTGCCAAAAAACCCAAAAAAGTGATTTATTCGTGAGAAGAAAGTGAAAGGCGTTGATCGAAGCTCCAAAGAAAGTATTTTTCAAAACGTTTAGAATATTCCAACTCAAAATTTACAAAATTTGCGTTAATCTGGTAGGTACTAACAATGAAGAAAATCGAGAGTTATTAATCTTGCAGAACGTTCAAACTCTGATAAAGACAACAAATATTTCCACAAATGGGTCCTCTAGGTACGGTTTCGTATTCACTATTCACAATGTGAATGGAACAGAAAACGTCTCCTGGACCCTAGGGGACAATAGAAGTTCAATTCAGAGGGTTGGTTTCAATACTGGCATCAATAGCTTCATTCAAGTTTGAGTAACCGACTTACAATACAATCGTTTTAACCAAAAATTATCCAAACGTAACAATATAATAATTACAGATGGTACCTGCCGGGAAGCAAGGTACCATAAAGAAGGGATTACCAGCGGGAGGTCTAAGAAGGTATATAATAAATCTCTCCACGTCCACTATTAGGTAACTGTATTGCTGGTTGTCTATGTACAGAAATTAGGTTTTTGGGCACTTTTTTCCAACTAATATTCTGAATGAAAACTGTTCTCGTTGTATATATTTATTTTTTGCTTATAATGCTTTAATTGCTTGAGCTTTGAATGGTTATGGTTGACAGTTGAGACAATCTATACTTACAAATTTACTTATTAGTGTACAATTTCTAAACGGTCGTATTAGGAATTTTATGCGATTTCTCTTCTGAACGTGCCCTTAATGGTGCAATCACCAGCTCAGCTTTTCTTTAATTGTGTAATACCGCATATTTGAAAAAATTCAGTCGGTAAATACCGGGTGATTACTAATAAATTTAATAAAATTTTAAATATGTTGTCAACCCGAGAATACGATAGTCACTCGGTATTATTATGCCACTTACTGTATCGAAATTTACAAAAACCAATAAAAATGTGTAAACAAAAAATCACTAAACTTGTAAATAAATATTTTTTTTAACCGAGCCTTTCCAGTAAGTAAATCAACTCAACAATAACACAAATTGACATAACTGTGCATCTAAAATAGCTGTCATCTGGCAGCGTTTGCTTACCTCTTCTATTACCCAGGTACGCTAAATAGCACCAAATCAAACAAAAACTTTACTGCAGGTAAACTTTAAGGCGATGACCGTTTTCATGGGAACGGTCTGCGTGAGGAATAAATTAATTAATACAGAATGTGTTGCCAAGTACGATAGTTATCATATCGCAAACATGTCTCGTTTCCTTGATGAAAATTCATAAGGCGTGAAAATATAATTTATTTATTACCTAAAAAAAGTGTGTGGACCAGGTAGGAAAGTTGTTGTGTCCAAACAATGACGGGTTTGTCGAAAAAAAAGTACTGCCTCCTGTGAGGTTTGAACTCACGACCCCTGGTTTACGAGACCAGTGCTCTACCACTGAGCTAAGGAGGCTTGTATAAATGGTACGCTTCTGTCGCTGTATTTCAAGGACAGGGAGATGTAGTGCATAACGAATACACATTTTGTTGCTTATTGTTAGTGATATCGCCATTAAATATTTTATTAAATGAACGTTTGTGAACGAATTAAAAGTTGATATCTTCTCGAATCGTGTTATTGTTACCAAAATTTTAATAAAAAAATTAAAAGACACTCAGCAATAAAGATGTTAAATTAACGTAAACAGTAGTCACAGTGAATTAAAATTAATGACTCAGAGACTAAATACGGCAGATTTATTGACGTAACAGTAGTTGGTGAAGATGGTGTTAGAAGTACTATTAACAGAATAAATAAAAAAAAGTTTCCGGTCAAGATCCATTGATGACAGTTTAAAGAGAACTTTTTTATTTCAATAAAAAAAAAAAAAACAAACGAATAGTAGTTTTCTATGTGTTAATAAAAAGTTAGTGGTTCGGAAAAGTCCATACTTTTCCAGGTAAATGCATATCCGGATGCAATCGTTGCAATAAACTAGAAACTTCTAATTAACTCAACATCTAAACCTGTTATTCTTGCAGTGATATCCGGACCCACAAACAACCTTCTACCTATTCTGCCGTCACCCGTCGATTCATACCCATAACCTTGATTTGCAACTTATCTATTTTGACTTTTATTTTTCTCTTTTTAATTAAATAACTAATGTTCGTTGTCGTCCCCAGCTCGCTCCACCATGTAAACCGGCCCGACCATGTCGTCCCCGTCGCCCGACCCGCAGAAAGCCGCCGAGCACACCTACCAGTCGAGCGAGACCAGCGACCACGGCCTCCTCGCCCATGGCCACCCATGCCCTTGCGCCGACAAGCCCGTCGACTCCTCCAAGAGCGAGTTGCACGGCCACTGCCTGTCCAAGTCCTCGCACCACCACAACATCATCAGCTTGAGCCACGTGCCGGCCAACACCAACCACATCCACCCCATCAACCAGTCGGTGCACGTGCACGTGCACGCTTCGCCGAAGACCGCCCACTCGCCGAAGATCGTCCCTTCCACGTGCACGTGCCACCTGCAGGAGGACGCCGACGCCATCGCCGAGGCGGAGGTGGCGCAAGGTCGGAAGCTGGAGGCCGACGACCGAATCGAGGTGTCGAACCTGCCGCCGGCGCTGCCGCCGCGTCCGCCTCCCAGGCCTCGCCTGGACGGCACGCTGAGCTCGAGGCACAGAGCCAGGAGCTGTAAGTGGCGAAAATTCGGGGGTTGTTGGTGGTGCTTGCGCCCTGTTCCGAGATTGGAAGCGGCTGGAGCAACAGTTCGCCGCCCGATGGGGAGAATATTGACTATTAGAGTGAAACGGCGCCGCGACGTCGCTATGGAGACAGCGCCGTTATCGGATAATACGCGCCAGCTCACTTGTCATTGCTTGTTTTCACAAAAGCGTCATTTCTCGTTCGAGTAAAATAATCGCGGTGAAAAGAGCAGAAATTGTTGGTTTGTTTTCCTTTGTGTGTGTCGTGACATGATGGTGTTAACACTCTTTTATAAGTCGCACTATAGAATGGAGATAAAAGGCGTAATGAAAAGCGGCGTTTACGACTCCTTTTATGTTGCTTTCGTGTAAAAAAAGAGTGCCTGAGGGACACCGATTGACACGATGCACGGTTATCCGGTCATGCAGGTGGTGCAGTACCACATACCGCCGACGATTCAGCCGTTTCCGCATCCGGTACCACATGGTAAGGGAGGGTGGATTGCACTTTCTGCACCAACGACCCTCGAGTCACCTACACCAAAAGTGCCTTAATTATACTATTTTCACTCAGATCCAATAATTGTTACTTCAGGGGTTCGACAAGGACCCATTCTGAAATCTTTATTCTTCGTTACATTTATCCCTAAATTTAGGTTCAATTTTTACTTATGTTGCAGCCAATCCGAGCCACAGCGGCATCCGCAAGTACGTCTTCTGGTGCTGCGCCTGCGGCGGCATGGCCACCATCCTCGGGGCGCTCTTTCTCGCCGTCTACTTCCTCCTCCGTTCCTACACTTCCACCCTCGGCTACTTCGAAACGATCCCGACTTTCGTGCCTGCCACCATGGTAAGCCGCCCCCGCTAATCACCCCTCGTTTAATATTCATTGTTTTAGTTAATCCTGACCGGTTTGTGCGTCATGAGCTTAGCAAGAAGGAAAAATCGATACAGTTACTTGGTACGTCCCCTATTGTCCCTCATTTCCGCTGATTCCTTCGTTTTAGATCAAAGTTTGCGGTTTGTGTTGCCTCGTCTGCGCCCTCACTTGCGTTTTAGTCACCATAACGACCACAGTCATTCACATGAACCGCCTCCAGACCTTGAGGGAGTGCGTGTACACGCAGAAAACACGTACCTGTATATGCTACTCGGTGCTGCTGGAGTCGCACGTGCACGCTGACGACGGTAAGACTTTTCTTGCCTCCACAAACCACTAACGTTCTTCTTGTAGAGATCAAGTTTGTGTTCAACTCCACGCCGGATTGCGAAGTCATCCACGGAGCGCTGTATTCGTGTCTTCGGGCGATGTTCGGTCTCTCGGTCAGCGGGATCTTAGTCTGTATATTTTCCTGTATGTTAGTTTACCAGTTGTTAAGCCACGAGAAGAAGAAGATGTATTGGGAGCAACTGGAGCTGAGGTGTCGTTCGTTCTACCAGCAACACACGAGCGGCCCTACCAGCACCCACGGGTCCGTCAGAGGTCCACCCATCACACCTACTACCTACTGCAGTTGCTGCGAAGAATGTCGCTACCCTCCGCTACCAATGGGTCCGCAGGTGTACCCGTGGGACTCGCACCACCCTACTGACAGGTTTTGGACTCCCGGCCGCGTTGGTAACTTTTACTCCCCCAACCCCGGTGAGGACGGTCCTCCGGATACCACGAACCGCGAGCGCGCCCAGAGCGGCTGGAGCTGGCGCCGGCTCCCCTGGAACCGCGGCAACAACACCCAGAACGACCCCCCTCGAGACAACTCGCTCACTTACCAGGGCACCAGTAGCGCCGACAGCCAATACGGGTTCACTAACCGGTCTGGAGGCGAGAACGTCCTCCAAGGCGACCCCAATACCGGCTCCACCGGGTCCTACAGCGTCCTGGATAACCGGCCCCCTATCGGGGGCGTGTACGTGTGGGGTCCGCCGCCCCCTTACTCCAACCCCAACTCGCCGGCGCGGCGGCCGCTGCAGTCCCCCGCGCGCTACCACCACATCCACCACCACCTGCACGGGCACGAGTCCCACTGCCAGATGAGCGAGGAGGCGCAGTTCCGGGGGTCGCGGAGGGCGCGCATGCATTGTAATAAAGACAACTACGAGAACACGACGGAGGCGGAGGTGCAGCAGGTGAATGATAACGGAGAGAGCACGGATAGTTCGAGCTGCGTAGATAGAATCTCGCATACGCTACCGGTGAGGAAGATGAAGAAGAAGAACGATATGGCGTCGGTGAAGTCGACAAATCAGGGAAATAGTAGGACGAATGTGCAGAATGTGTTTGGTCAAGGGAAGGAGGAGGCGAAGAACGAGGAGGAGCACAGCTACCACGAGCCGAGTGTGCCGGACAAGGGCAAGCCGAAGGGGGACATGCAGCAGTGCAGGTTTTTACCGAGGTTGCAGGGGGTGGAGAATGCGGCGTTCCAAAAGCAGGAAAACAGTCCACAAAAGCCGGAGACGTCGGAGTCGGAGGTGTACTTTGCGGATGTGAGTAGTTGCTGTAACATCTCGGTGCGCAACGACGGACAAGACTCTTCGCTCTACGACGAAGCTCTGGAAAGTCAGAAAGCGCGATTGATGTCGCTACAGAAACCAGAGTGTAAGGAACAAAACCAACTCCTGCAGAACTTCCAAGAGAACATATCTTCGTCTACGGTTACAGAAGACGAAGATTATTTAGCGCACCGAATGGGCAACCGCCAAATGTCTACAAGAAGTCGCATGCCCTTTCCCTTACCCAGTTCCGACGAGCTCAACGAGTTCTCAGCGGAAACCTGCATGCAACTCCTCCCCAAAGACATCTCCCAGAACAGTCTCTGCAGTAGCGTGCAGACCCCGATGACCGAAACCACCGACGACGGGTTGACTCCCGTAGACTGTTGCAACTACTTCCCGGATAAACCTTCGGAGCACCACCGGCCCTTCACCGAGCACTTTCTAGCCCCGGACGCGCAATACGAAGTCGTCCAAGACCAAGTTCGCCAAAACTCCAGCAACCTCACGAGCACGATCTCCGGTTTAAACAACTTCGGTCCTAATTACTACAACCAGACCAAGCCCAACTTCAACTACAATACTAACAGTCCAAAGAACGTACCGCCAAAGAGCTTAAACTTGAATCCTCAGTCTCCCAGTAGGAGGAACATCGGTTCGAATATTTCAGCGCTTATACAGAATCTGGGTGGGAATCCGGCGGGGTTGCTTTACGGGGAAGCTAACAGTGCCGACGACGAGGAGATTCAGGGTCAGGCGTGTCATAGTGACGGGACCATGGATTCGGGATGGCACAGTGGCTCGGAGAAAATCGAAAATAAGAAGCAGGAAAACAATGAACCTGTTAATGTGTGATGTGCGTCACCGGAAGACGATACGGACTGAATGGACATTGTAACCGCAAATGTGGGTTTTGATATCTTTGGACGTTAAACGAGATATGGTTGTTCTATATGTACCTACTTATATTTTGTAATAAAGTGTTAAATCATTGGTATTTTTGTGACCGCGACCCTTCTGTGTGGAAGGAACAGGAACAACACATATCAGAAGTTGTGTTAGTAATTTGTTAGTGGTGGCTGGTTTTTATTTTGGCGAGATGATTTTTCTCATTTTGGGTTGTTTGGTTGGTGCTACTGTCCAGATTGATCTGTCTTTGATGTATTCACACGTGTCGGAGAAGTATCGATGCGTGACCAACAGCAGTTCTGCACTGAGTTGGATTGGAACGAATATCACAGAAAATTATGGTCAGTTTTTTCTCTAGCTTTCAGCGACTTTCAATTGCCGCTTTTCTCCTTAAAGCGTCTCCAAAATTTTGATTTTTAACACTAAAAAGACATTGTGGTTGATTTTTTTCCGACTGATTCCTGTAATAGCCACACGAAAATTCATTGCTTTTATCTGGGTTAAAATTTCTCTGAATTATTATTTATTTTTACACAAACATGATAGAGAAGTATCGTACCATGGTGAAGCCAAAAAAAAAAAAAAAATAAATATAAAAAGGACCCAAAGATCTGATCTTCCTCAAGAATTTTCGAACTTGTTCTAACCCCTCCTCAGTTTCAGTTTTTCTACCTCCACGTAAAAACGACACCGACATCGACATCTTTCAAACAGTGCAAGAACCCTGGGTCGTGCAAACATCGACACAAGGAAACGTCAGCAAATTAATTTTAGACCGTCGTTGGGAAGGTACTTTTCCCCCAAATCCTCACCCTCGTTAATTTTTTCTGACACCTAGAACTAGAACTCCACGTAACCCAACCCCAACAGTACAAAATGGTGCTTTCCAATCTGACCGAAACCTTCACCATTCCGTTTTCGCTCCGGGTCAAAAACGACGCCCACATTTTTCTGTGCGACGGAGACGACGTCCAGAACGACAATTGCTACTGGTTTCTTCTGCAAGCTTATGGAGGGAGAAAGAGCGCCACGCGCGAGTGTAGACAAAACACGAAGACGACCCTCAAAAACAACTGCTTCATAGACCTCAATGTTAAATATGTACTCTTAGACGGGGTGGTTTTGCGGGAAATCAATTGTCTCGTTCCAGCACCCGGAGGACTACCCGAAGTACCTTTCAGAGGAGGTGTGGTCACATTTCACCCTGGAAAATAATGCCGGGTTCAAATTGTACCATGGCGAAAGCGTCTTACTAGATTTCAAGGTGTGGGAGCCAATAAATGTGACCTATATGTTTGTTAGTAGTAAGAGCTCGATCGGTTTTTGGAAAATTCACGAAAGTATGTCAAATCGTGATAAAATTAGCTTTTGTAGCTCATTTTTTAGCTGACTACTTGTATACCGAACAAGAAGTGCAAGAGTTTCAGTTAGGTCCAGTCATAACACCTATTGGAGATTCTGTTTGTCTGTCGATGTTTGTGTCAATGTGTGCTTCGTGTAGTTTGAAAGTGATACTCTGGCCACGTCGTTTTACTTTTAGAGCGCAAGGTCAGACCTCTGAAGCAAAAGAGGTACAAGTACCACTTTTACCGATTTTTTTTAAAGATAAAATTTTGTAGGGAGAATGGCAAGAAGTCAAGTTCTTTGTCGATAATCTTCAAAGTGATTGGGTAGAATTAGCAGTGTCAACTAGGGGTCGCAGAAGCGGTCTTCAGTTCTGGGCTATTGACAGAGTACGACAGGGTCAACAAAATGGTGAGCTGACAACTTCACCAACAAAGTTATAGTGTTAGGTGCGTTTTTAGAATATCGGATGATCTCGGTGTCGAAGCAAGCCACATGCCACCTCACCACCGACAAGAAACAAAGCGTGCAGATGTCATTTAACGAAGTAGAGGAAATAATTCGTAAAACATTTTTCTTTTAATAACTTAATTTTTTTAAAACTCAAGTTGTAGATTCTAAATGTTCCGAAGATCTTTTGGATCACTTTTGCAGCACGTGTTTCTGGCTTCTTGACGATGAAGGTGGTTGCAACAAATCTAAAACATGCACTAGAGCTAAAAGTAGCCTGGAATGTTCGTGTTCGACTGGATTTTACAGTTCTGAGGAGTGTATTTACAGTAACCAGAAAGACCCATTTTTTTTATTGTTGGTTACAAAATGAATTTTTAGTGTGTATTGAGGGACATGGTAATACAGGTTGTGCCAGAAAATGCGAAAACGACTGCACTAAAGATTGTGGTATGAATGATGGCACCTGCAAGAAGTGTCGAAATTTGTATAGTGGTCGTGCCTGTAGTATCAGTATGTTTAATATAACGTGAAACTTAAATTTCAGTTTCAAATTTCTTTCCTTCTAGAAGCAAGTTCTGTTCTGGTACCAGTAATTGCTGGTGTAGTTGCAACTATAGTAGTGTTTAGTGTGGCATTGTTGGTTGCTTTATACGTAACGAAACGTATTCGATTCAAAGGTAGGTGAAATTAGCGTAATTTTTTTATTGTTTGTAAACAAATATGTTTAAGCGTTTTTTTCAATTTCGCCGCAAAATTCACAACCAGAAAATGAAGATGGCGATAATGTAAGTACCAGAGTGGAAATACTATGAGAAGTAACATTTTATTGGTGTGTTCTTCTCCAGACTTTGGTAATGCGACGTCCTAAACAAGTAAATGACGTTTACGTTACCTCTAAACCTATCGAAGTCGCCAAGTTCTACGATTACGTAAAAACGGCATTTATTAATAACGAAATCGAACCGCAGTGCTTGGCAGTTTTGAAAAATATGCCACGAAAGTCGTATGCCGCAATACCTAGCAACATAGTACTGGATTACGTGGACTTGTGTTACAACGATGTACGAATTTATAAATATAACCCACAAAAACTTATTTTCGTGTTTGCAGTATACTCGCATACCGAAAGCTTACTTAGCTACCACTTTTCCCAAAGACCAACAGTACGAAGACTTTTGGAAACTAGTCTGGGAAGAAGACGTGAAGTACATTGTTCTCCTAGACAACGACCAAGCAACTAACGAAGTACGTTGTTCCAATTTTACTTAACCCAGTTGTCAATCCGCGTTTGTAGATTAAATATTGGCCAGAAAAAAACCCGATAGCTATACGTAGCGTCACCATACAAATGTTGTCGAAAAAAATTTGGGCGGACTATGAACACCGAAAGTTCGCACTGAAGTACAAAAACAGCGTCCGACAAGTACGTACTGACACAACTCTTCCTTCCAAACTCAAAAACGAAGTTCCAGGTTGACCACTACCGTCTGACTTCTTGGTTGCACGCAGACATACCCTTCTCCACCCAAAACTTCGTCCCTTTTTTCCAGAAAATCTCCAAACTGCCTTTGAGTCCAGACTCGCCGCTTTTGGTGCACTGTAGGTTTAGTCCTGTAGGTGCCGGTTTCTTCCTTCTTTGCGACATCAACCTAAGAACAGCCAACCGAGATGGTGTTGTCAATGTTCTTGAATCTTTTCACAGACTAGCATGGTCTAGCACGAACTTCGTGGACGAAGATAGCGGCTACTATCTTCTCGCGCACCTAATCATAATAGACTGTTTTTTCGCACTAGATACCACGATTAGTCACAATTCTTTCACCAAAAGCAAAATCAATCAAGACGTTGCTTATCTTCACAAAACCACTTGGTTGGACACGACTATGCAGAACATCAGGCGGGATAATCGTATTTATTTTCGGGTTTTGCCGCCCACTGAGGGCGGTAGGATGAAGTTGGTGTCTTATTCGCCAGAACAGATGTACGATTCGTACGTGGAAGCCCTCAGCGCTGTACACGTGGATGGGTTCAAAAGCTCGAACAAGTTTATAGTTACTAAAGCACCCACGAATGCCACTTTTGAAATTTTTTGGTCAGCAGTGGAAACGAAACATGTGTCTGTGGTTGTATTTTTTTCGGAACTGAATCAACCTTGTGATTGTTGGCCGAACGAAAAGTACCCGGAAATGTACCCTTCACAGTCTGTTACCCTCAAACATATCAGTACGGATAAGTGGATGTCGTGGGATCAGATTACTTTAGAGCTACGCTCGAAAATAACAGTAAGTTTTGTCTTGAATAATGAAGCTTTTACAATAAAAATGTTGCAGAAAGCTAGGACTATCACAATCCTTATGTTCAAGGACTGGGTGAGTAAATCCAGCTGTCCACGGAATGTTGGAGACTTTGTTAAATTTTGTACCATGTCTCAAGGATTTTTGAAGACAACAAACCCAGTGGTCGTTGCTTCTTTGTAATTTTTGGAAAAGTGTTTTTTTGGGAGTATAGATGTTGGTTTTAGGGATGGAGTGACGGCGTCGGGTTTGTACTTGGCGATGTTGTATATCATGAATAAAATGGCGTTAGAAACGATATGCGATGTTTGTGTTTCTGTAAGGATTATGAGGTCTTACAAGGATACATTTTTACAGAAGAAAGTATGCTTTATCTTTTCGTAATTGTGTTTTGTAATGATAATGACGATTTGTTTCAGGAACAGCTATATTTTCTGTACGAAGCTGCCAAGGTCTATCTTGAAGAAGTAGTCAAAAATAAAAACAAATAAGATCTTAAAATAGTTTAAACTGTGATGTAATGTATTTATTTGTCAGGAAACAGTCTAATCCATCACTAATCCAAAATAAACCATGACGTATATGTACTTTTATTCACAGTCTTATTTATTTTTGGATAATCAGAATAATCTATTTGATTTTAATAATGCTCTACGCAATACGACTACGACTACATTGTATAGAGACTTGTATTTAAACAATTAAACGAAATTAAAAGGTTACCTCGTAGAACTTACCATCCACGCACTACCAATTTTTCTCCTTAAAATTAAAGTATTTGTCACTGCCTATATTGTCAAGAATGGCATGGAAAATTAACTTTTCAAAAGGGTTTTATCGCATTTTTTTCACATAATTTTTGCGATGTTGACATTACTAGTAATTTTACTACCGTTTTTTGTTTGAAGCGATTAGTGTTACAACTTTAGTAAATTAATAATGGCTTTACTTATAACATTGAATAAATACCCGATGATGATGACGCTTGCATGGCAAATTCATGAAGAAAAGTTTGGATGAGGTAGGTAAAAATACTGATCTTAAAAGTACAATGTTACAAATTAGTTCAAATTAAAATGAGAATGTTAAGGGAACAAGTTTATTTATTTATGTATAGTGTGCACGTGCAGTTGCAATCATGTCTTTAAAACGAAAGCACTTTACTCTGACTTTGAAAAAAAAATATGAAATTATGAAAAAAATGAAAGTAGGTGTGAGTGGAAAAGCGGCAGCACTAAAATATCATGTGGGAAAATTGACAATATCTGGTATAAAATGGAATAAAGCAAAAATTGAAGCATTTGTAAACAACTGTTTTGTTTTAATGAATTTTTCAAATAAATTTGTTGTTTCTGAATAAATGATATTATACTTTCATATCCACATAGTTTATTTTAAGTAGTTTGATGGTTTCGATTGTCCGAATTTTTCGATAATAATCCGGGGCTTATCAAGGGATTACTGTATATATATGTAATCAAAATTAAAAAAGTTGATGGTGTAATAAATTGTGTAAATATCTATATATATGTATATGATAAAAAAATTGAGCCTTAAGTAAATCGACAATTTTCCTGATCCATACCTTCATTTCGCTACCGTCGTGATAAGTGATCGAAAAAAACTTGTATTGGTCTAACTAAACGTGCTACTGTTCAATAAATGAATTTGTATTCGCTAGAATGTTAACAAAGCTCAACTTTATTAAAATAATTAGTCTTGTCATAGCGTCTTTTAAATACTCTTGTTGTGAAAATGTTTTTTTTGTTGTAAACGAGTACGCAGAAAGAGGATCTCAATTTTATTGCATAACAAACAGCTCGCGTGCCTTAAGTTGGGTAACTGAAGACACCACATTCATCACAGATTTACAACAAGGTTCGTGTTGTGATAAAAAGCTTCATGTTAAAAAAAATTCGGCTATATTTTTAATTTCCTAAAAATCAAACATTTCGTACTATGGATAAATGATCTCTTGAATTTTTCTTTGGATAACGATTCAAACTGTAGGATCAAGATTCCTGTCAGTCGAGGAAAATCTCTGGAAGGTGGACTCGTATGAAATCGAAAACCATGGTTGGAAGTATGGTGAGTCAGTTGCAGATGAAATTATTACCGATCAACGTTGGGAAAGTATAATTTTAAAAACGCAAAACTTATTCCAAAATTTATGTTGTTTTAATACCTAGACATACAAATTAACAAAACAGACTACGTTGATGTGTCCTCTACAGACGAATTACAATTTTTAAAGATCCTGGAGCTAAAAAGTGCAAATTTTAAAGTCCCGCTTTCAATCCGTACCAACCAGGAAGCTCACATATTTCTGTGTGATGGTGTCACCGTCACATCAAACTGTTATTGGTTTCTATTACAAGCATTTGAAGGAACAGTGTCTGGTGTGCGAAAATGTCCTATTGATACAATACCTACAAAAAATAATGTATACCCAAAGAAACCCTGCTACGATCTTAAAGTTTCGATAAAAGTATGCATAACAGTACTCTTGTTATTATTAAAATTAATTGTATTTTAATATAATTTAGCACGGATCGCAGTTTCCTAAATTTTTAAGTAGAAGTGCTTGGCAGCACTTTATGTTGGTAAAAGAAAATAATAAAATTAGTCTTATCAAACAAGACGGTCAGGAAATTATATCATATACCGACAACGAAAACATCAGATACAAGGTAAATAATATTTTAATACACAGTAAAAGGTCTGCAGGCCTCTGGAAAATTCATGAAGGTAATATCTACATTCGCATTTTGCTAAAGCTCTTTAATCATGGTTAGCGTTTTAGTTAAGTATTTTACGACTAGCCAGAGCAAAAAAACACATTTTAACATGACCTTACTCCCAGTAAATGGTAAAATTTGCATTACTGCTTTTATTAAAATGTGTGAAAACTGCAAAATTAAATTTGTGATTATAAATGCAGACAATGAAAAACACATTCTAGGACAAGCAACTTACCAAAAGGTTAATGTTACAAGATGAAAATTTAAAAAAATTAATAAAATCGTTGAAGGTGTCTCAGTGGACCCAAATTAGGTTTATTACAAACGCAATAGGATACAAAAGAGTTACACTTGCCATTATTACTGACGACGAAACTAGTTCAGATCATTACTGGGCCATACAAGAAATACAACAATGTGAAGAAAATGGTAACTGTATGATTTTTGCCAAAACACTGTTCTGAGAGCCAAAATTTCAGGTTTAAGAATGATTTATTCGGAGACGCTGGCAAACTGTCAACTTTTATCTTCCGATAATAAAGTCATTTCTTTGGATAATGCCGTAGCAACATGTACGTAACAAATAATTTTTAGGTTTCATTACGAAAGATATCTTTTAGCTTATCCAGACAAGTACGCGGAGTGTGCCGAAAGCACAATTAGTACACACTGTGTACCATGTAACTTATTTGTGATTGAAAATTGCGGAAAGCTTAAAGTATGCGAAAACAATCAAAACGAGTTGTTGTGTTCATGCTCAGCTGGATATAAAACAGACGATGGAAATATTAACTGCCAAACCAGTAAAAACGATCAAAATTTTGTATATCTTAAACTTACTTAATCGACTTTCAGGTTGTGATCCAGGAACCTACGGACATTATTGCACCAAGACGTGCAATACGAATTGTCAGAATTGTGACACTGTTGATGGAATGTGTACAGATTGTAGTAATTCTTATATGGGCACAAAGTGTGACGTGGGTAAGATATGTGATGATTTTCAAAAAAATGTCATAAATATTTGCACGTTTTTAACAGCGCCAATGCCATTTTTTAAAAATAGTCCCGAAATAAAATCATTTGGATACACTGAAGCCGAAATTGTTGTAAATAATTTTAAGTTAGAAACTTTTTCATTCAACGCTGATCTTTTGTACAAATACACTGTCCAATACAAGGTTTTAAATAAAATAAGTAGGTAAACATTTATTATACAAAAGCATGTTTTAGGAAGCAACCGCTACAAATTGGACTTTTCACCCGTACATCGTTTACGTAGGGATATCACACACATTTACAATCGAAAATTTAAAACCTGGGGTAAAATATTACGTTAGATCCATTATAATCGAATATGAAACAAATTACGACGACATCATTCCCACAGCTGATTTTGTTACAAAGTGTGACGGTAAACTTGTTACATATTAAATAAACTAAATAAATTTTCAAGTGCTCTTATAGTTGTAAGCAGTGACGATTTTCAAGTAGAAGCTACCAGTACGACAGCACTTTTATTCGTGAAAAAAGACGTAAGTCACAGACAATCTCAAATTAAATAAGAAAGAATAAAAACTCCATTTTCTCTTCAGAGGAATTCTAGAATTTGCAAATTCCTGACTCCTGAAACAAATATTGAAATCCGGCCTAATATATCGGAATCTTATTATTATTTGGAGGGCATGACTTTAAATATCAATGGTTTAAGACCTTTTGAGGTCTTCAATTTGACAATAAAAAATAAAAACACAGTTGTGGAACGATCATTTCGCACAACAGAAGGAGGTAATCTGTAATAATTTGTAATCAATAACCTTACTCGTTCTTTCCATAAATCAGTACCAGACGCCGTAACGAATGTGATTGCAAGAGCCATTACAGATTCCGAAATTGTAGTAGGGTGGAACGCTCCACGTAATCTATACGGAAACTTTCGGGATTTTGTTGTTTCATATAAGGTGAATATCCGTTCAGTTTTTATTTTTTACAATAAAAGTTTACAGATAATTAAATTTCTTACTTGTGATTCCGCTCCAACTGTTTCCGAAGCAATTACAAAAACTTCGACAAAGCCATCCATAATTTTATCTAACTTAAATCCGCATACACTATATTCAATTTCTGTTAAAGCCAGAAATACAAAATTATCTGGACTGGCAGAAACGGAAGAACAAAGTACCCTGCAGTCAGGTACACAAATAAAGATTCATTTGAACTTGTAGTTACGATAGAATTTCAGACAAAATCCGTGATCAAGAAATACCGAAAGCATCTTTAAAAAAAACCAATAGTCGCTCGGTGGAAATCGAGTTTTCGAACGTACCCTGTGGCAATCTTGGAGCCCCACTAGAAGTTGTAACAGTTGCAGTATGCTTAACGAACTGGTGTAAAAACCAAAATGTATCGAATTCCCTCACATATCCTCAACATAAGACGCTCATTTTAAATAATGTTACTCCGTTCACAAATTATCAGCTAAAAGTTGAATTTCATAGAAACAATTTCAGCAAAATTATTACATTTGGTAGCTTTAAAACTAAAGCTGAAGCTCCTTATGCTGTTAATAATTTGTCGGTTTATTCAAAAAATACACACTCGATTTCTGTCCGATGGCGACCACCGAGTCCTCCGACTGGAATTGTAAATTTGTATCAAATAAAATTGCTTGAGGAAGACAGAATTATTAATGTCACAGACTCGCCTTGTTTTTTATGGTCCGAGTACCAGTGTTACACTTTCGAAAATTTGAAAGAAAAACAGCGTTATTCTGTTCAGGTAAGTCATCATGTTAAGTATGTTATTGACTTTACTTATCTTCTTGAAGTTGACTGCGAAAAATGAGGAACCGGATAGGTTCGGACAATACACATCAGTTCAGGCGTTAACGGAAACTGGTAATTATGCATCAAAATAATTTTTAATTAATTAACATTTCAATGAACTGTCAAATGCAGTGCCTTACAATCGCAAAACCAAATAAATTTTGTAACTACACAACGACTAATTTTGTCTCATCCACAGAACCGGCAGAGAAACCTCCCGATGTTATGGTCAAGTGGACTTTGGAGAATGATGTCAACATAAGCTGGAAACATCCAGTTGTAGCAAATGGCGACATTCAAAGTTTTAAGATAGTTTTTGAATATTCATCCAAACAGGGACGAATTGATAGATTTTTGAACATCACAAAAAGCCAATATAAACCTACATATCAAATGACTGTAAATAGCCAAATAAATCATTTAAGTTTGTGTCTTAACAACACACTTATTAATTTGTTTGCAGGTAAAATTGCAAACTATTCAAACGTCAACACCTTATAAAGTCGTGATTAGAGCTTACAACGGGTTAGATGGCGACGAAGCATATTTTATGGACGTGAGTCCTCCTGAAATTCCTTTACTTGAAGCAGATCCAACAATTGTTAACGTTTCAAGTAACACAGTCACACTCCAAGTCGAGAAAAGTAAAAATTTTAACCCTAAAAACACTTATAAACTATTTTTGTTGGTGTCAGACGAGAGTCCACGCTCTGACTTTGATCCATCGGAGCTACAAAAATTGGAGAGTCATTTCGGAAGTCTTTCCCCAGGGAAAGTGGTTTTTGAATGCAACAATTTTACTGCTGCAAAACAATTTGTAATAGGACGCAGCAACGAAGTTGCAAATTGCAGACAGGACTCAAATATTACTTTAACCACTGGAACCTCTTACAACGTAACAGTTCTGCTAGTTAGCACCTATCAAAATAAAAGTAGTTACAAATTATACTCCAAAAGTGCACTCACCTCCGGTGAACCTCTAAACTCCTCCTGGGATTTAAGATTTTTAGCTTTGTTGTTCTTGCTACTGATACTAATCCCCGTTTTCTACATGTAAGTACAAGAAATGCATATGTTTGTAAACCATGTTTAAAGAACAATAACTGAATTAGTACTTAACAAAAATAAATTAGGTTTTGAAAGAAACTCATTTCAGATATAGCTTTCACAAAAAGAAAATGCTTGCGGCTTCAGGACAAGGTAAGTGACAATTAAAAAACTAAATTCATAAATATTTTTATTTTTTAATCAGACGCCGTCAATTTTGAACTGACATCCTCAGTGGTAAGAAAAATGTAGAAAGTACAAAAACGAATACATGACCCTTTTTTAGGAACTACGTTTGAATGTTGCGGGTTTAGATCATTTGCAATCTAAACCAATTAGAAACAGAAAATTCAACAATTACGTTAAGACCAACTTAGAAAATAGAAAACTGGCAGCACAACATAATGTTCGTATTATAAATATTTGGCATGATATCAAATTCCAACAAGCTACTTCGTTTCAGGCAATCTTACAAACTACTGCAGCAGAATATGAAGAAATCGGTGAAAAAACGTATTTAGAACGTATTGACTTAGACTTTACTACTGTAAGCCCAAGTGTATTACAAAAACAATTCCAACAATAAATTTTTCCTACTATTTTAGGGACATCGTATTCCCGAAGTTTATGCAATCTGTGATGTACCCAAAGATTTTGACACCTTTTGGAAACTGGTCTGGAGCGAAAACATTGAACACATAGTTTTGTTAGATAATCTTCAGTGGCAACAAGTTTGTCCCAAGTACGATGCTTCTACTAACTACTGATTTTTTTTTTTAAGATTAGAAAATATTATTGGCCCAAATTCGGTTTAAGTTTAGACATCAAAAACATCTTAGTGCACTGTATTCACGAAGAGATTTTCACAGATCACGAATACCGAACGTTTAAACTGACGTATCAAGATCAAACACGTGTAGTAAGTAACTTTTATAAAAACGTATCGTTTACGTAATTATTTGTTTTCTGAAGATCGACCAACTTCGTTTTACGGCATGGATCGATTTCGATTTACCTCATTCGTTGACGTTCGTCAATTTTTTCAAAAAAATGTCTGTAATGTCGTTAAACAAAACTTCACCTATTCTTGTCCACTGCAGGTATGTTAAAAAATAACTAGACGCACTATTTCATCAAAAATTCTTTATAGTACTACACGTGCAGGAACCGGTTTTGCTTTGTTATGTGACATGTGCTTAAGAATTTCTAAAAAAGACAACGTTGTTGATGTATTCAAGAACAGTCAAATCCTGAAGGATTCCAACTTTAACTTGATAGATAGTTATAAGTGTTATCAACTGGCTCATTTAGTTATTTTAGAATGTCTGCTTTCTTTTGAATTGGACGTGGAGGTGGATCTACTCGATAATAAATCTGAGCCTTCGGTACTTTCTGAGAAAGAACTCAAAAAATATTTAACATACATGAAAAACACCGCTTGGATAGATGAATTAAGTCCCGACAAAAATCGAGACAGCAACATATACTTTCGTGTTGATGCTCCAAGTAAAACAAATTATTTTTCAAACTTCCCTTTTGTTATTCAAATCTTATAATTGAAGGATACGAAGGTGAGCTTCTGTTAAGGCCTTATTCTCCTGATGAAGAAATCGACTCTTTTTTATCTTCCCTCGACGGAGTCATAATTGATGATTGTTCGTGTCCGAAGAAGTATATATTACTTAAGCACCCTCAGCAAAACAATCTGGAACAATTTTGGACAATGGTGTCGAAAGTGGATGTTTCTGTAATTATTAATCTGAACGAAAACGACTTTTTTGGTGCCGTAAGAATCTAAACTGTGCCTAGTCGCAAGTAAATTTAATTCATTTGTAGAATCTGCTGCTGAACCAAGGCGGCTTACAAGTTAGTAAAACCCTGATTCTTAAACTCGTAATTGTTACTCATTTCAAGTGTTACGATTGGATAACTGTACGAGTGCTTATCGATGGACAAAAGGTAAAAAAACCAATGAAATTTTAAGTTACGGCAAACCCTGTTTTAGCACAGCAAAGACGTAAAAGTCTTTTGGATGAAGAACTGGTCGGGAGAAAAAGTTTGTCCACCGTCTGTAGAGGATTTTGTAGAGTTTTGTATCGAGACTAGCAGGGTAACGGCTGTTTGTAATTCTGTACTAATTACATGCCGGTAAGTGGTTTTAATGATTTTTTTTAATCTCAGTATAATTGAATATGATTATGTTGATACAGTGACGGAGCTACAGCATCGGGACTGTATGTGGCGATGTCTTACAACATAGAAAACTTTAAAAAAGAGAACAAATGCGTCATTTGTACTTCCGCAAGACTTGTAAGACGATATCGTCACCAATTTGCAACAAAAGATGTTTGTATTGCCAACATTCTGTAGAAGCGGTTTTAATTTTCTTCTCGTGTTTGTTTCAGGAGCAGCTGAAATTCCTTTGGGAAGCAACTGAATATTTCGTACAACAATTTAAGTTGTACGAAACGTTGTAATTAGCAAGAAATCATTTGATTTTTTTATTTACAACTGATTTTTATATTGTTGATTAATAATAAAATAGTTAAACGCACTTTTATAATGATTTGCTTTTTAAGACCGAATATTGCTTTAACATTTTCCTTCTGCTTCTAGTAGAATTATAAACTATAAGTGGCATTAACAAAACAATATTGTATGGACAGACATAATTAAGTTTTGTCAATACTTTACAGATAAGCAAGTTCAAGTTCAGTATATAATATTTGTCAATAAATTACGAGTACCTATCCCATAAAGATTAATCTACACAGTTGGCATATGTTAGTAAATTTCGTAATTACATGATATTTTTATTCACACCCTTATTTATCTTTTGATAATAATTTGGGTAAATTTGGACAAGTCTGTTTCATTCTAAAGACCATATCTTATATGTATATACGGATTACGTAATACAGAGCGGTGCATTTGAAACAAATTTGAAATGTACCCATCCATGGTTGGATTGGTTGTGTTGATGTAATTCCTTAATTTTGTATTTAATAACCTTAGAGTGAGAAATCTATTATTTTTATGTCTATGGTATTTGACATACTCCTGTATACAAGTCGATTAATATAGAAATGTTTTATTTGGCTGCTTTTCTTGGTGAAAAAATCTTAACAGGTTATGGGCGCAGAACGCTATAAAGTTGAAAAAACATGAGTACCAAACAAAAAGCCAAATATTGAAAACTATTTGAAAGATATCTCCACGAGGTCGATTTTAAGGTTATCCAACACGTGCATTCTGAGGTTATCCAAGACGTACTAAAAAAGAAGTATAGACGTAGAACAATGGATCCAACAAGAATCATCAATGTCGGTCTTTTGGAAGGAAAGTCGAACTGGGATACGTGGAAGTACAAAATTACAATTTGTCTACGAGGAATTTCAGGAGCTCTGGATATCATTGAAGGCAGGTCAGTGAAGCCTAGTCCACTAGATGATGGTGCAAAGCCGGAAGAAAAGACGGCGTACCAAACTGCACTTGATGCATTTAATAAAACAGAGAGCAATGCATTGATTATCTTGACAAATAATATGACAGAGGAAACTCTAAAGAAAATTATGCGATTAACCAGTGCCAGGGAAGTATGGCTAGAATTACACAAACTTTTTGATGGCGTTTCGGAAGACAAAGTGTACAACCTGTGTCTACAATTCTTTAGTTTCAAAAAATGTTCCAGCGACGATAGATAGATAGATAGATAGATAGATAGATAGATAGATAGATAGATATATTTGTGCAATATACAAAGCATTTACACAGGTCAAAGAGCAAACAAAAAAAATATAATAAAAATACAAAACATAACCAGTAAAATGTCGTACAAGTACGATTCAACATTAGAAAAACAACAGTCCATGGACTGATGTAAACTACTCACAATGTACATATTAAAACTTATACTCTAGGAATTCATTTGTACTATAAAAGGCATGACGCAGGAGAAGTTTCTTTACCTTTATTTTAAAAGCAGAGCCACATAAAGTTCTGTAGCGCTGGGGTAGGTGATTGTATAAGGATATGTTAATGGACAAATTTTTTGTCTTCGTCAATCTAAAACGTCTTGTTCTTACCAAATCAGCTGTTCGGGTATTATATTTATGAATATGATACTGATGAATCATATCACTACGATTTGAGTGAATTTCTATTACCGTGAAATATATAAAAATGCATGGAAAGGTCAATATATTATTCTCAATAAAAAAAAGACGACAGTGCTCGCGACAACCCAAACCCAGCATCACACGAAGGGCCCTCTTTTGTAAGCGGAATATAGTAATAGATAATGGCGAGTTTCCCCATAAAACAATAGCATAAGACATATTTGAATGGAAAAGCGCATAATAGATAGACTTAAGTGCTCCAAAATTAACGATTTCTTTCATTTTTCTTAAAAGAAATATAGTGGAGGAAAGTTTACTGGCCAGACATTTGATATGGTCACACCAGGACAGGTTTGTATCAATTGATAAACCTAGTAATTTTACTGTGTCAGAGTTCCCTACGAGGTTGCTATTGGATGATATTAAGATTTCTTGTGTTTTATTTTTATTAAGTTTTAGAGAGTTAGAGGCAAACCAGATGTCTGCATATTTTTGCGCTGTTTCGGCTTTGTTTAGTAAACTGTTAATACAACGATCTGACGTGATTAGTGAGGTATCATCGGCGTATAGCACACAATTCGCTTTCTTGGTTATAAAATTATAGAAATCGTTTGTATAAATAATAAAAAGCAGGGGCCCTAAAACGGACCCTTGCGGAACACCATGTTTTACTGTTGTAAACGCGGATTGCATGTTATTCACTGCCGAACATTGCTTTCTATTAGATAAATACGAAGAAAAGAGCTTGTGTGGAATGCCTCTAACACCATAGAATTCCAGTTTTGTCATTAGCGTGGTATGACTGACACAGTCAAAGGCTTTGCTTAGATCGCAAAGTGTGACCATATTAATTTCACTATTTTCTAAACCGTCGACTACAAGTTCCATAACTCGTAATAAGGCCTGCGTTGTTGCTTTGCCTGATCTGAAGCCAAATTGTGCTTCGTTGATTACGCGAAATTTCTCAAAATATTTGGTCAGTCGTGATTTAATTAGTATTTCTAAAACTTTGCCAAAGATTGGGATAATGCTAATGGGTCTATAATTGTCAAGCAGAGCCGCATCGCCCTTTTTCTGGATAGGTATAATTTTGCTAAATTTCAAGCTGTCAGGAAACACCCCACTTCCAAGACATTCGTTAAAAAAGTTAGTCAGAGGCGTTAATATTAAACTCACGGTCTCTTTTAGAATTTTAGAATTGATACCGTATACGTCGGTGCAGTTGGAGTTCTTTAGGTTGTTGATAATATTTGAAATTTCGTTATCACATGTAGGCTCTAAGAAAAAATTATTACAAATTTTAGGCATGGTATTCAACAAAATATCCGGTGTACGTACGTCAGTTTTGTCGATCCCTTTTAGAATTTCATCAGCTATATTGGAAAAATAACTGTTAAATTCATTAGCGTCAAATTTTGTGTTTTTCTGATTGGAGTTATTTTTATTTTTATTTCGCAAGCAGTTGATAAATCGCCAGCTGTCTTTGGGAATATTATCAGACTGAGCAATGTACGAGCTGTATGCGTTTTGTTTAGCATTCATTATGGATTTTTTATAAAGGGATCTTGCTTGTTGGTACGCTTTTTTATCACTAAGGTCTTGGGTACAGTCAGAAATTATTTTGATCGCAGCAATTGAATCCCTCATACGTCGCAAGTCGTCGTTAAACCAGCTGATGGTACATTTGTTGGATATGATACGTTTTTTTAGCGGAAAACAGAGTTTGATCAATCGCTGATATGTTGTAACTAGGTATGTAGCAAAAGTGTTAACATCACAATTGGTTTGCATAGATAACCAATCCACGGATATGAGATGATCACGTAATTTGCTTAGACCCATATCATTTACTGGTCTGCTAAAATAATAATTGTTACGGACGATATTACTGACTGCGTGAAGACAAATATATTGACCACTGTGATCAGATAATCCTGGTTCCAATATTCCAAACGAGCACGAATCATCACTCAAATCGGTGATAATATTGTCAACGGCGGTTGCTGTCCATTTAGAAACTCTAGTAGGATCCATTATTTTAGCTTTTAGTCCAAATGATTCGGCAAGATCAAGTAAGGCGTGAATTTCGGCCGATTTAATTAGAATGTCCTTATTGAAATCACCAATCAGAACTAAATAATTAGTTCTTGTAGCTAATGAACTTAGTATTTCTTCAAGTTTGTCTAAGAGTATTTGAAAATGACGTGAAGTTGATGGTCTGTAAACTGTGATAATAATTGTTTTAGCTCGAGGGACCTCGACCCCACAGAACTCTGCATGCATTTCGACACAGTATGGATCTAAACAGATGGGTATGCAAGTTAAGCTTTTATGAACATATATGGAAACTCCTCCATGCAATCTTACTTTTCTACAATAAAACGATATTAGTTGGTACTCACTAAAGGTTATCATCTTGAGTATATCCCTATTTACAATCCAATGTTCTGAAAAACACAGAATTTGAAATTTAAATTTTTCACAAAATAATGTAACTTCGTCGATTTTATTGGTGAGGCACTGGATGTTGATGTGAAAAATTGAGAGCAGACTATGCTCAATCATACTTAACAGGCCCCTTTCCGTATTGAAATTAGTTGTTTGAAATGGTTTGGGGTTGATGTTTGTTCCGAAAAAAATTGAATCGGCTGATAGACATCCCCACTGGCCAGAAGTTAGCTGAATACAGAATATCTTTGAGATCCATGTCGGCCCCAATTTTAAACGACCCATTCCTCTGCGTATCATGTGATAATGACTCGATAATAAATTCCTTATTTGGACATTTATTTTTAAGAAACTTGTCGACGTCTTCCACTTTGGTGTTAGCTCGTACTCTTCCTAGATGCAACCAAATTCTTCTTGCTGCCCCAGCAAAATTCAAGTCGGCATCCCCGTTCCCAATAATTGCATTTTTTTGTTTTTTCTTGACGATAGATTGTCGCTGCTGTGTATTTTTCTTACGCTCTGGTATCTTCACCTCTAATCGTCTTTTTTTCTTATCGATTTTTTGGTTGGATACAATGATAGTATTTTGATTATTGGCCTCACTTTTATCTTCGATCGCCGACTTAAAGGAATCATTGAGTAAATCATCCTGAAGATGCTCGAAGGATTCTTCATCCCTGTCTTTACGGGGTTTCAAGGTACCGTCATTGACGTCCGTTAATAATCTTACTTGTTCCTTTAAGTCGGATACTTCTTTAAGTAGGCACTGGATATTTTCTACAAGCTCATTTGTTCTCGTTTTTACTGTTTCCTCGATGATTTCACGGAGATTTTCTACACTTAATGATGTCACCAAGCAAGAATCATTGATTTGCGAGTTTTTAGAGCGAGTATTTTTTGTCATAATTGTTCAGATTAAATACCGCGTGCACGTCTAGACTGGCTACACATATATCAAAATTAAAGAATCTATGGAGCGAGTTAAAAG